ACGGTTATTTTTTGTCTTTTGTGTGAGCAGAAAGAGAAAGTCTGTGTACGCTAAGTATACTAGGGTTATAGTAATAACTCATACAGAATAATATTTTCTGAAATGTATTAAATATACATCAAAACTATTTAAGGGTCAGTAATGCTACAACAAAATATTTAAATGACACCACATTCAAGGATGTTAGATACGCATACAGAATTTTGACACACCAAGCTTTGTCAGATTTCAGAATAACATAATAAAAAAATTTAAAAAAACGCAAAATAATTTTTTATAGCACAACTCTGAAATTAATCCTCTTATTTGCACATGATTTGACAGCGTAAATACTTCATTTCACTAACTCTAGTTTTTCAAAACATGTTCATACTAATTCATTGTATTAGCATCTCTATGATGGCAGCCATTCATTTGGCAGTATGTCTTAATGTGATGATTTCAGCTGTCACTTAATTGATATGTCTGGAAAGAGTTGAGTTATTTGTTTCAAATGCTAATAGTATTCTGGTCTAATGATGATTATTAAAACAAAAGACGTACAATTCAGTAACAATAAATCATTGATTGTTAAAACAAAAGACGTACAATTCAGTAACAATAAATCATTGATTGTTAAAACAAAAGACGTACAATTCAGTAACAATAAATCATTGATTGTTAAAACAAAAGACGTACAATTCAGTAACAATAAATCATTGATTGTTAAAAACAAAAGACATACAATTCAGTAACAAAAATCATTGATTGTGTTAAAACAAAAGACATACAATTCATAACAATAAATCATTGATTGTTAAAACAAAAGACGTACAATTCAGTAACAATAAATCATTGATTGTTAAAACAAAAGACGTACAATTCAGTAACAATAAATCATTGATTGTTAAAACAAAAGACATACAATTCAGTAACAATAAATCATTGATTGTTAAAACAAAAGACATACAATCAGTAACAATAATCATTGATTGTTAAAAAACAAAAGAGTAATTCAGTAACAATAAAATTGATTGTTAAAACAAAAGACGTACAATTCAGTAACAATAAATCATTGATTGTTAAAACAAAAGACATACAATTCAGTAACAATAAATCATTGATTGTTAAAACAAAAGACATACAATTCAGTAACAATAAATCATTGATTGTTAAAACAAAAGACATACAATTCAGTAACAATAAATCATTGATTGTTTAAAACAAAAGACATACAATTCAGTAACAATAAATCATTGTTAAAACAAAAGGACGTACAATTCAGTAACAATAAATCATTGATTGTTAAAACAAAAGACATACAATTCAGTAACAATAAATCATTGATTGTTAAAACAAAAGACATACAATTCAGTAACAATAAATCATTGATTATTAAAACAAAAGACGTACAATTCAGTAACAATAAATCATTGATTGTTAAAACAAAAGACATACAATTCAGTAACAATAAATCATTGATTGTTAAAACAAAAGACATACAATTCAGTAACAATAAATCATTGATTATTAAAACAAAAGACATACAATTCAGTAACAATAAATCATTGATTATTAAAACAAAAGACATACAATTCAGTAACAATAAATCATTGATTATTAAAACAAAAGACATACAATTCAGTAACAATAAATCATTGATTATTAAAACAAAAGACATACAATTCAGTAACAATAAATCATTGATTATTAAAACAAAAAGACATACAATTCAGTAACAATAAATCATTGATTATTAAAACAAAAGACATACAATTCAGTAACAATAAATCATTGATTATTAAAACAAAAGACATACAATTCAGTAACAATAAATCATTGATTATTAAAACAAAAGACATACAATTCAGTAACAATAAATCATTGATTATTAAAACAAAAGACATAACAATTCAGTAACAATAAATCATTGATTATTAAAACAAAGACATACAATTCAGTAACAATAAATCTTGATTATTAAAACAAAAGACATACAATTCAGTAACAATAAATCATTGATTATTAAAACAAAAGACATACAATTCAGTAACAATAAATCATTGATTGTAAAAAACAAAAGACATACAATTCAGTAACAATAAATCATTGATTATTAAAACAAAAAGACGTACAATTCAGTAACAATAAATCATTGATTGTTAAAACAAAAGACATACAATTCAGTAACAATAAATCATTGATTGTTAAAACAAAAGACATACAATTCAGTAACAATAAATCATTGATTGTTAAAACAAAAGACATACAATTCAGTAACAATAAATCATTGATTATTAAAACAAAAGACATACAATTCAGTAACAATAAATCATTGATTGTTAAAACAAAAGACATACAATTCAGTAACAATAAATCATTGATTGTTAAAACAAAAGACATACAATTCAGTAACAATAAATCATTGATTATTAAAACAAAAGACATACAATTCAGTAACAATAAATCATTGATTGTTAAAACAAAAGACATACAATTCAGTAACAATAAATCATTGATTGTTAAAACAAAAGACATACAATTCAGTAACAATAAATCATTGATTATTAAAACAAAGACATACAATTCAGTAACAATAAATCATTGATTGTTAAAACAAAAGACATACAATTCAGTAACAATAAATCATTGATTATTAAAACAAAGACATAGACATACAATTCATTGTAACATTCATACAATCATTGATTGTTAAAACAAAAGACATACAATTCAGTAACAATAAATCATTGATTGTTAAAACAAAAGACATACAATTCAGTAACAATAAATCATTGATTGTTAAAACAAAAGACATACAATTCAGTAACAATAAATCATTGATTATTAAAACAAAAGACATACAATTCAGTAACAATAAATCATTGATTATTAAAACAAAAGACATACAATTCAGTAACAATAAATCATTTGATTCAGTAAAACAAAAAAATCAATTGATTAACAATAAATCATTGATTATTAAAACAAAAGACATACAATTCAGTAACAATAAATCATTGATTTTAAAGCAAAAGATAATAAACATTTCTGGAATAGCCATTATATACTTGTTGCGTGCTGATTTGGAAGAGTTGTAATATTGTGGGAAGAGATAAAGTGGCATGATAGTTATTTCCTGGAGTTCAAGGGAATGTCCCATGAACAGTGTCAAAATTGACCCAAGTAGTGAGAGGGAGTCAATGTTGGGACCAGTGAGGAATGTATTGGAATGGAAGAACGCCCGAGAAAGTAGATGCGTCCATGATTATTATGTACCAGAAGATGCTACAGGATACTATTTTACAAAAGAGGAATATAGATAACATAAATATTACAACTTGATTAGATTGACCCAGCCATAAATGGGAACCAGGTACAGTCCTGGGGGAAACAAGCTGGCTGGCGTGATGTTGGCCATATCACTCCTGGGTGCTAATTGATCTATAAAATATAGGTCTAATCTTATGTGTCCAATATAGTTTAGGCGTGGAAAAGGTTCTCTGACTTATAATGTATGAAATAGCAAACATACAGTATGAAATAGCAAACATGCAGTATGAAATATCACACATACAGTATGAAATAGCAAACATGCAGTATGAAATATCACACAAACAGTATGAAATAGCAAACATGCAGTATAAAATAGCAAACATACAGTATGAAATAGCAAACATACAGTTTGAAATAGCACACATGCAGTTTGAAATAGCAAACATGCAGTTTGAAATAGCACACATACAGTATGAAATAGTAAACATCCAGTATGAATTATCACACATACATTATGAAATAGCAAACATGCAGTATGAAATAGCAAACATGCAGTATGAAATAGCAAAAGTGCAGTATAAAATAGCAAACATACAGTATGAAATAGCAAACATGCAGTATGAAATAGCAAACATACAGTATGAAATAGCAAACATACAGTTTGAAATAGCACACATACAGTTTGAAATAGCACACACACAGTATGAAATAGCAAACACACAGTATGAAATATCACACATACAGTATGAAATAGCAAACATGCAGTATGAAATAGCAAACATGCAGTATAAAATAGCAAACATGCAGTATGAAATAGCAAACATGCAGTATGAAATAGCAAACGTGCAGTATGAAATAGCAAACATACAGTATAAAATAGAAAACATGCAGTATGAAATAGCAAACATACAGTATGAAATAGCAAACATACAGTTTGAAATAGCACACATACAGTATGAAATAGCAAACACACAGTATGAAATATCACACATACAGTATGAAATAGCAAACATGCAGTATGAAATAGCAAACATGCAGTATGAAATAGCAAACATGCAGTCTGTAATAGCAAACATACAGTATGAAATAGCAAATGTGCATTGGAAGACACGGTCTGTTTGTATCCTCTCCATGTTGTTGACAAATAAAGTATTCACAAGAGGTCTCCAGTACTGCTGGAAGTTACACATTAAATCGCTCCCACTTAAAAAAAAAAAAGACCCTTCTCTCATTTTCACAGTATGTTTGTTTATTCTGGATGAAGCAACGCATTTCTGTCATCTGTACTGTTGTCTTCCCTCATCAGATTTGACTGATCAGTCGGTCACAGTGATGGTTGACGGCAATGGATCTCGAGCACATCTTTCATCCTGAATGTACACTCTGTGAGACTGCTATTTGTCCATCTCTTGATGTTATCCTTCCACTTGTATCAATGTCTGTCTCTTGCTCCCTGGCCTTCAGCTTTTTTTTTTTTTTTCAAGCTTAGGTTTTTATCTGTTTTGTATTTTAATATGACTGCAGTATTTCATTTGCCTCTTTATTTCCTTTAGCAAGTCTCTTTTTATGTGTAGTCTCTTCAGAGGCTCAATATATTTCAATGATATATCTGTTTTATTCTGGACAGGTATGGAATTACTTCTGGAAGTAAAGTCAGCAAACATCAATGTTCAAATTACTGGAGTCACATTTAAAAGACTCAGTTATCTGCCTTGTTTAAGATCTGTTCACATCAACTGATTACCATGGCAACTAATCTGGGCCAAGCCCTGCTAGAAGGGTCAGGGATTGTTCCTTCTTTAATCCAGGAACTGGCTGCTAGTGGATTCAACGAGGGCAGAGATGCCTTCCATGACTACATATACACAAAGTTCATTCTTGGGGATGATAGAAGCAACAGCTCATTGGTAGCAAATCCTGGTGTTTCGGTCTTCGCTGCCTCCAACATCAGCAACTGCCCTGACCCAGAACAAGGGCTCGCTCATGGAGCCAGTGATCCCAATCATGCTGGAGTTCCAAGTATTATCAACTGTAGCGCTGCTAATGAAGTTGATGAAATGTCTCGCGCCACATCTTTAATTAAACCTGTTTCTGAGCAAAAGCCGGAAAGTTCCAAGAAAAAGTCACTTCAGTTGGCACAAAGTGCGGCTCGACTGGAAGGTTTGGACAGCAGTGAGATCCAGAGGAAAATGAAAAAGAAGAATCCGTATAAAAAGAAAGACAAGACGTTTGTTTGTGAGGTTTGTGGGCGAGGTTTTGCGGAGAAGTATACGATGAACCGACATATGTTCACACATACTCGTATAAAACCATACTCTTGCTCCAAGTGTAAGATGTCGTTTGCACGCTCTGATGGTCTGGCCAAGCACATAGCTGCCGGCCACCGGCGGGTGGACTCTCATCACTGCGATGTCTGCGGCGGAACATTCAGTAGCGAATTGTCCTTCGAACAGCATCGTCGAGAATATGGGAACACTTTACCTTTTGTTTGCAATCTGTGCATGCTGGCATTCTCTCAGTGTTGTCACCTCAACTACCACATGAAGTCACACCCACTTTCAAAATTAAATGAAGGATTTGATTACGAGGGCGAAGCTGACAAGAATAATGCTGTTGACATGTCAGAGCTTATTCCAGACGACTGCAGCTCTCCGAAAAAGGAGCAAGAAGATTTTGCTGTCAAGGAGCTTCTGAATAAATTGAGTAAAGCAGGAAGTAGACAGTTGGGCAACACACACTACAACATGGATGTCTTCAACCCACACATTGTAATTAAACCAGAGATCGAGGAATTCCCAACGTGCAGCTCCATAAACAATCGGATGTTTGCAGACAACTCCATAAATAGCTCCGGTAAAGGCAGTAATGCTTCGGATGCCTTAAATATTGTTTCCCTTAGCACCTCCGCTTCTCAGGACCTAATGAACTCTCTAGCCCACCAAGGAGGCAACAATTTAGCAGATGCTGGGTCAGATATGCAAGGCACTTCAAAAACCCTTAACAAGTCTGCTGCAGATAAAGAAAATCCAGTTTCAGATTCCGAGATGAAGAAATATTACGACATTAAAATCCCAAACCCCAAATACAGAGAAAGCTCTAGCCTTAAAGGGAGCGGTATGGGTGAGGATGGTTTGTTTCGATGTGACAGATGTGGGAAAGGTTTCTCCAGAAAGTACCATATGCAACGACATGTGAAGTTACACATACGAGGTCCCGTACCGCGAGCCCATCTTCTTGACTGGACTCGTCGGCCATATGCCTGTGGTGTCTGCAAAATGGGATTCACTCGGCAACACCATTTGACTCGTCACATATTGATACACACAGGTGAACGACCACACTCTTGTCATGTTTGTGACAAGGCCTTTCGGCGCTTCACTAACCTCACCCTCCACATCCGCACAGTCCATGGAGCAGAGAGGCCATTCAAGTGTCATATTTGCGGGCGAGGTTTTCCTCGTCTGTACAGTCTCCAGCGTCATCAGAAGCTGCATATGAAGAATGCTCTTGCGGCCAGCGCTGAGAGCAACAGTCAGTTGTATGAAGGGTTTAAACCTGTGGGCACAGGCGGCGCTGAGAGCAACAGTCAGTTGTATGAAGGGTTTAAACCCGTGGGCACAGCCAGCGCTGAGAATAACAGTCAGTTGTATGAAGGGTTTAAACCCGTGGGCACAGGCGGCGCTGAGAGCAACAGTCAATTGTATGAAGGGTTTAAACCCGTGGGCACAGCCAGCGCTGAGAATAATAGTCAGTTGTATGAAGGGTTTAAACCTGTTGGTACAGCCAGTGTTGAGAGAGAAAAATCACCAACTCACCATTCAGCTAACCCACATACTCACCTTTCCAGCAACCCAGCTACTCACCTTTCCACCAACCCAGCCAACACCAGCCAGTCGCCAGGTAACAGTCAGAAGTCCACAGAGTCCATGACTGATAGTGTCACGGACAAATACAGACACCAGATGAACACACAGAATGACAGATTAGGCAATGATGATCTGACGGGAAAAGGCACTACCCTGAAAAACCAAGAGAAATATATTCTTGTGCAAGGCAAAATCCATGACATGTCATTCCAAAATGATCAGCATGTTCAAAATAAAGATCAGGGCTGCCATTCTGGTGAGGCTGAAACTAGGTCAGCCCAGTCTGGCCAACAACAGGTCAGCTCTCCACCTGTGACAGACAATAAAACTCAGAAAATGCGACTGGCCAGTCCTCACACTGACAACATAAAGCTGCAGAATTCCATTTTGGCCACGATGTCCAATTTTACTTCTTCGCCTGATCATGGTGAAGTCATCAGGAGCCATGTGAACTTTGACGTAAGAAATGTGCCAGACTTTAATCGTCAACAGCCGCAGCAACAAACCTTACAGACTATCAACGAAGACAGGCTCATTTCTGCAGGCACCTTGTCCAGTCAGAATCTGAGAATTATCAACATCCCTGTTGGACACGAGATGAGCCTCAGGGATGCTAGCAGTTACACTCAGAGCCACAGAAGTGGCAGTAATGACTTCGTCATCCACCAGCAGCAGATTCAGGCTTCTCTCCCACTGCTGAACATGATAGAGCGGCCAGGAAGTCGCAATACTGTTGGCCAAGTTAACATGCCTGAAGCTTATCACCACTCCACAGCCACTTATAACCAGGCAACATCATCTATACAAATCCAGCAAGTCTCAACAATGAACCTTCCTGTTTCTTGTAGCACCATGTTGCCAGGAAACCTGCAAGAACTCACAAGCTATTCGTACAACAATCATGTGGATATTGGTGCAAATCATAGTGGGGTCAGTGAGCCAATTGTCTATTCCCACAATCATAATGCATCCAGCATGCCATTCCACGCTGGTATCCATGGCAACTACCAGCACCATCTGTCCGACAGTCTAGATCAAGACATACATTCACACCCAACCCCTGTCAATACCCACAATATGCAGTACTAGCATGCTGACGATTCACACAATTTGTCTACCTGGGAATAACACATTTACGTTTCTTCACAGAAACATTTATTTGTATTTCTTCATGAAAGAAATTATTTTGTGCTTATAAAAAAAACTGTTTCAACGTTAGTTGATGTGCTAGTGTTACAAGGTTGTCTGTACAGTTATACTGATTTTGTTTCAATCATGTTCTCATCCCCTAAGTTTGTTGGTGTAGTACCGGCTATCTTTTCACAGTGCTGTTATTGATTGTATCATGACCAGTTGTACTAGTCATAAACTACATTCTATAGTTTCAAAAATAGTCACAAAAAGGCATCACACCACAGCGTTTCAGTATAGCATTGAATTAGTCAACATGTGTATTTCTAAGGCTTACAGATTAATGAATGTGTTTAACAATTCCAGGATCCTCGCAGACTAGGGTTCTATTTCCGCAGTGGGTGGTTTATTGCAGAGTCATTCAGTTGAGTTTGCTCAGGTTCCCTGGTGTTGGGGAAGGTGGATCATCAGAGGCCCAAACCTTGGCATAGAAAGATCATTAATGCAATACAACTGGCAGATGATCTGCCAGCCATTTGCTAGGTCTCTGCGGACCATTTGTTGGTCTCTGTGGACCATTTGCTAGTCCTCTGCGAGCCATTTCCCAGGTCACTATGAGCTATTTGCTAGGCTTCTGCGGGTTAGACTTGGCCCGCATGTCACCGGTTAAATAGCCCTGGTGTATAGTTTTTAAAAAGTCTCTTCCCGTGATTTATAGACAGAAGTACCAGAGTAGCACCATGAAAGAGATTGGGGACTCCTTGTATCATATCCCCAGCTTCATTGTGGAGGTGACAGCCACTTCGTTTGGTGAACAGTGGGAAAAGTTATACGAGTAACCAGATGGAGGCTGCAACTAGAAAGCCTTTATCAGCACAAATACACATCAAAAAAATATTAAGATAACTACACCTTTTTTAAATTTTGTAAAAATTCTGTAAAAGAGTCTCTTAGCTTGTGAAATATGGTTTCTGGACCTATACATCCGAGGACATATTGTTTAATTCTTAGTTTGTGTAAATAATTTGTTATTGAATAAATATGGATGTAAAAATCAGATCTGAATCAAATATCTCCTGTGTGAAGAAGCTTGACTTGACAGTAGATCTGACGAAGATGCTTGCATTTTTCAGTGTAAAGAATCTTACAAATTGACTTATCTTATTCTTATATATATCTTAATCTTATTCTTACATTTCCCTTTGAAAGAAACTTGACTAACTGGCAACATATATGGCCAGTTATGCTAGCACTTTTCAGATAAAAAGTTTTATAATTTTGACAACAGGTGTGAGTACATTGAAACAACAACAGATGTCATGTCTGATGAATCAAAGATATAGCAAGAAATGACAGGATCAGAGAATGACCTATGACAGAATCATTGCTACTCATTGAGAGGCAACAGATCAAATGGTTCGGACATGTGTCAAGATGGTGCACCACAGAGAGAGAGTCCTACTACTTAGACAACATAAGTATTATTGCCATTTGCCAGTGGGTCCTCGTGTTTCTGATGTTATAAATATGTAAATGACAAAAACATTGAAATAGATCTGAATTATTGTTCATACTTCATACAGATGTACATATATGCTGTGTTTTGTGTTGTTATGTTTGGCCTAAAACAGGGGATTTCATACCTGACACTTGATTTCTTATTCTGCAGTCACCCTGTAAAAAACCAGTTAGCACAGTTGTTATGGTTCCCAGCTAGACTGCGATATCTGCTCCTTTCGACCCAACACGTCAAATTAAATTAGACCCTTAATTAGTTCCCCCTTTCTTTTCCCCTCACACAAACACACACACACACAGTGAGGCTTCAAACCCCCACAAGGAGAATACATACTGCCACTGTAAAAAACTACAATAGTCATCATCATCATCATCAAGTGCTTGACCGACTGGCATGGGGGATAATGCCGGGACAAAAGGCTGTCAAGAATCTTTTCAGATTGTCTTCCTCTGTCTCTGTTGTCACAGATCTTTCCAGTGGTCACAACATGTTCCATCTTCCTTCTTCTTATAACATGACCAATAAATGATGAACTTCTTGTTCTGGGTTTAGGAAATATTGTCTTCAAACCCTCACCTCCTTCTCGCAAGCTGAGTTGCTCTGTTTGGCTGTCGCAAGGAATTGTAAGGATTCCTGGCATGACTGCTAGCCACTGGTCTGCTAACCCACGCCTTTCTAGGGTGACTAAGTCGCTCATCAACTCTTCCATCCTCCAACCAGTGCACAACCAAGCAAAGATGTTCTGACTTGATATCTGGGGAAAACTGCCTGTTGAAAGCATGCCTCAGCTTGCAGACTGGTACATAGCCACAAAAGTCAACCCAATTAGTGGCTCAGCAAGCCTGATGCTTGAATGTATAGTGTGTAAATACAGTTGTATGTATCTTTTACTTTTTTTGTTTGCTTTTGTTCAAAATTCCCAATATGAACAAATGGTTTATAGTGATTTACTGTTGTGGTTCATTGAACACATAGGTTGTGGTGGTTTACTGTTGTGGTTCATTGAACACATAGGTTGTAGTATACAAAATGATTGTTAATTGAAGTAAACTCAATTGCCCGGCTCGCTAGCATAATTAGTTAAACCTGACTGCCCGGCGACCGGGTGACAAAATCCTTGTGGTTCGGTTTCATGCCCGGGGGTTGGCAGAAAAGCCACATTTCTCCCAGATTTACTGTAGCTGTCATGGAATCAAGGCCGAAGGGTTGTGATGTTCACAGTACCGAGCCAAAGGGTTTACAACTTATGGTTTCCGATATTTAAAAAAAAAAGTCAGCTCAAAGATGATAGTGTTAAACTGGTGTTATTCAGTGGTGTGAACACATAGCTTGCAATATGCAAGTGCTGTTATAGTGTTAAACTGGTGTTATTCAGTGATGTGAACACATAGCTTGCAATATGCAAGTGCTGTTATAGTGTTAAACTGAATTTCAGTAAAAACCTGCAGTGTACAGTTTTATTGGTGGCGTTGAAGGAGCACAGGGTTTGCAGTGTTAAACTGGTGTTGTTCATTGACACAGACACTTCAGCTAGACTGGTGTTGTTCAGTATACTGCCATGTTTGTTTGCTCACTGCGTTAATCTGTTGTGGAAGTTTCTGGCATATTCAGAAGGCCGGCCGAATGTAGCATCTCCCTGTGTCAGTGTGTCAAGTCATGTCATGTCTCATTGTGATCTCTCCAGGTGACAATTGTTGCTTGAGGTCTGGTATGTGAAAACAACCCAGGTAAACATTGCTGGTCCAATTCTGAACAGGAATTTGGGATCAAGTAGACAGTGTTCCCCTCGTGGGTTTTGAGAGGGGGGGGGGTAGACCATTTCATCTCTAACACATGTCATGTGAGGCTACTGATTAAGGGATGTTTGCTTTAAAGTCACAGTGCATCTACCTGACAGGAGAGGAACCAACAGTTTGCACACTGATAAGCCAGATCTGTATCATGGATGTGCATGCAAAACTCAAGTCCTAGAACAAGATCAAAGTCCAAAATAGGATTAAAGACCAAACGTTTTCACTGGAGTATCCATACATCAAAATAGTGATTCAGCTCTTCTTCAATCTATCTGTCAGAAAACTTCTATCAGGAGGCCAGTAGCCTTGATAAATGCTATCACACAGTCCAGATCTCCACATTTATCATATAAATTTGTCTATGTCAGCGGCAAATGGCAGTTTGCAAGTACATGCTCAGTTTTCTTTCAGGTGTTAAGTTGCATGGACACAACTCCATGTTTCTTTTACTGAATAACTTGCACATATGTCGGTGTAGTATGTTATGCCATGTCCTTAGTCTGAATATGTCACTGTCCCTCTGTAGAGAGCTGAGGCAGTGAGTCTTGGTGAGAACATTGGATGTGTCTCTCCAGCCACCTTTCCTGTGTGTCTCCAGCCACCTTTCCTGTTTGTCTCCAGCCACCTTTACTGTGTGTCTCTAGCCACCTTTCCTGTGTGTCTCCAGCCACCTTTCCTGTGTGTCTCCAGCCACCTTTCCTGTGGGTCTCCAGCCACCTTTCCTGTGGGTATCTAGCCACCTTTCCTGTGAGTCTCCAGCCACCTTTCCTGTGGGTATCTAGCCACCTTGCCTGTGTCACCAGCCACCTTTTCTGTGTGTCTCCTGCCACCTTTCCTGTGCACTGGTTGTTACTAAAGTACTGAATCAGCAAGGGACCAACAGGTTCTAGATATTTAGTGCTAAGAGGAAAACATAAGCAGACTTTTAATGAGGATGTAACTGGCTCTGTTAGCGTGGCAACTGTTTCACATTTCGAATGTATCGGGTTCAAATACCACAAAACAGCCAGTGATTGTTGAGGATTGTTTGCTGTGAAGGATGTGTGTATAGATTAGAAACATGGATGAGAGAGCCTAGGGGTACTGCGCTGGATTTGATCCATGGTGTCCAGATTGCACAGAATAGAGCTTTATGGGAGAATACAGTGAGTCATGTAACAAATAAGTGCACAGATCAATGATAATGAATTGTAAGCTACAAGGGTTTCACCAGATATTGTTGGTTAGATTACTGCTACTATTCTGTTCAGTTTTTTTTTTTTTTAAACATGTTCATTTGTCTTACCACACAGCAGGTTCTTGTCATATTTGTGTAATACATTTCCATTGCCTCTATAAGTTCAGTTATGTCTGTGCAGTTACAGTTAATGTGTTAACTGTAAATTAAAATTAATGTAATAATTGTGAATTACAATTAATGGGCTACATTTTGTAAAAATGTTATTGTAAATATAATTAAATGTATCATGATGTTTTGATTGGCAAGCGTTCATTGCAGGACACAGTTGACATCCTATGCTGCACTGAGAATTCAGGTGAAATGATGTACTAATATCAGCAAGCTCAGATGTGTAGATCTTCCACTTCTTGTGTTTTCCCTTTCGGAATCAGCTGGCATGTGTGTTGGGGTTTACAGAAGTGCTGTT